GCATGGAGTTTGCTAAAAAATACCTGAAGGACTCCAAGATGGTGAGAAATAAGATTCTCTGGTTTGATGAGACCAAGATAGAACTTTTTGGCCTTAATTCTAAGTGGTATGTGTGGAGAAAACCAGGCACTGCTCATCACCTGTCCAATACAGTCCCAACAGTGAAGCATGGTGGTGGCAGCATCATGCTATGGGGGTGTTTTTCAGCTGCAGGGACAGGACGACTGGTTGCAATCGAGGGAAGGGTGAATGCGGCCAAGTACAGGGATATCCTGGACGAAAACCTTCTCCAGAGTGCTCAGGACCTCAGACTGGGCCGAAGGTTCACCTTCCAACAAGACAATGACCCTAAGCACACAGCTAAAATAACGGAGTGGCTTCACAACAACTCCGTGACTGTTCTTGAATGGCCCAGCCAGAGCCCTGACTTAAACCCAATTTAGGTCCAAAGGTATTTCCAGTCACTCTGTCTCACTCTGTCCAGCACAAACCAGTCAGGATCTCCTAATTACTCCAGTCACTGCTACTAATCTTAGTAGTCTGTATGCAATAATGAGTCTAATTACACTGTATAATCAGAGAGCACTTTAAGGTCAAGGCCTTCACATCAAACAGGACTATGGAATTTATGAGAACCTACAATAAAACTAAACTTCAAAAACAAAGTTTTAACCTGCACCACATGTGGTTAACCCAAGCAAGCTTCAGAACATGTTTTCGTGTGGGTGCAGACACTCTGTCAACATGTATCCTTCCATCCATCCATTATCTATACAGCTTATATATATAAACTACATTGTTTCCACAAATAGTGACAAACAAGGCTGCTCTGTATCGTCACTGCGCTATTATTCAACATATGTCAGCTAAGGGCTGATTCCAAATTCTAAACAAAAAGTCAAAAGCTGTGTCAAAGCAACAAAGAATAAATCTAAGTATAATTTCACCTGGATTCATGAGTGGAGAGGCACTGTTTAGCATATATAGAGAAGCTTTATCTAAACAATTAATTGCAGATCCTTGCACGATCACACAGGTCAGAAAAAATGAACCATTTCTATTTTTCATTCCTGGGACTGTTGGTGTAGTGCACCTTCAACTACATGAGGCTAATTAGAAATTCTGAACAAGCAGTTACTGTAACTGTTTGGTACTTTAGGG